GTTCCCACCACCTCCCCTCATCCATGGGGATGTACGAGAAGGGGCAAGGGATATCACAAGGATGATGTCGATGATGATAATGATGATGATAACACCCATTCAGTTTTGCCCAAGTCATAGGATTCTATGAACCTGGTCTCTCCACACCTTCCAACTTTGTACTGCTTCTTTGAGTTATTCTATGCTCTGGCTGGTCTCAGCTTTGACAACCTGGTTTCCTTGTCACAAGTATCACAATGGATGTCATCTATTCAGTAATGTTCATAGAGTGACATGGTGGTCTAATAATAATAATAATAATAATAATAATAATAATAATAATAATGAAATTGGAAGGGACCTTGGAGTCTTCTAATCCAACCCCCTGCTCAAGTAGGAGACCCTATACCATTTCAGACAAATGGCTGTCCAATCTCTTCTTAAAAACTTCAGTGTTGGAGTATTCACAACTTCTGGAGCAGGTTGTTCCACTGGTTAATTGTTCTAGCTGTCTGGAAAATTCTCCTTAGTTCTAGATTGCTTCTCTCTTTGATTAGTTTCCATCCGTTGCTTCTTGTCTTGCCTTCAGGAGCTTTGGAGAATAGCTTGGAACCCCCCTTCTTTGTGGCAATTCCTCAAATATTGGAAGACTGCTATCATGTCACCACTAGTCCTTCTTTTCCTTAAACTAGACATACCCAATTCTAGTAACTGTTCTTTATATCTTTTAGCCTCCAGTGCCCTGATCATCTTTGTTGCTCTTCTCTGCAAAGCCCCATCTGCAGGATGTAAGCAGTATACAAAACAAGGTCCTGTCTGGTCCGTGGAAAAACCTCTTTCCAGGAACCGGTCCCTGGTGCCCAAGAGTTTGAGGGCCTCTGGCCTAGAGATGAAAATGCTTTCCTCCCACTCAGAAGGTTGAGACTTCAATATTAGGTAGCGACAGATGTTTCTCTATTGTGGCACAAAGAGATCATATTTGCTGTGAACTCCACATTGGCATCAGGAAGGGCATCCGGCCAGTAAACGCTCAGCTCTGCTCACTTGCTCTGATCCAAGCCCAAAGCAAAGGATTACAGTCGTTAAAAAACGTAGCAGTCAAGCAGTGTGTGATCAGGCTATCAATAAGTTTGATTCTCCGCCTTCAAAGAGGGAGAAAGGACCCACAGATATCTAACATGTGAAGTCTGGAAGTACCAAAGCTGGCATCCAGTTCGGGAGTGAAATGTTCTCATGTATCTACATAGGTGGGATGATGTCATTTTAAACCCTTTGGGAATTTCTCCCCCTCCCCAGCAACGGTGACATCATAGAGAGTTCTTTTATAGGAACCTTTGGTCCTTTTATTTAATGCAGGGTTAATCATTATATTTGCACCCTGGGATAGCTCTTTGTTGAAGCCAAGGCTCTGTAGATGTGTGAGAAACTTTTTGGGGGGGGGGGATGAGAGGCACGTGACTTTTCAAACAAATCAGTAACTTGTGCTGGCACTACAATCTCTGAATGCCCAACATGTTGATTAAAAATTGAAGGGGGCTAAATTTCATTACCTGCAAAAAAAAAAAATGTAGTGCCTTCAGAAAAAGGATCGATATAATTGTTTTACAGACTTCAGCCTCTAAATCCCTTTTCTTACATTTCCTCATGAATCTGTAACTTTCGTAAAACATTTCCGTAGCAGCATTACATATAAATACTGTTTAGATAGATATTAATACTTCATTGTTTTGAACATTTCATATTTGCCACTATATTTTCTTTCCATTTTTTCTTAAAATGCAGTATTGCAACGGAGGAGGCAGTATTATAGCCGGGAGACAAAAAAGTTATTCAGCTAAGAAGGAACAGTAGGAGAAGAGAAGGAGAGGAGGGAGCAGAAACATAGAAAGAGAAAGAAGACAGGAGAAGGGAAGAGGAGAGGTAAAGGGGAGAAGGAGGAAATGGTCACTTAAAAAAAGCGACATAGAGTGCTATTGGCTGCACATTGAGAGGGGGCTGGCTGGGGCCCATCCAAGCAGAAGGCAGGGCAAGAAACAATGGACAACCTGGAATCAAGAAGAAACTTTCTAACAGTGAGAAGTTGAACAATTAACCAGTGGAACAACCTGCCTCCAGAAGTTGTGAATGCTCCAACACTGGAAGTTTTTAAGAAGAGACTGGACAGCCACTTGTCTGGAATGGTATAGGGTCTCCTGCTTGAGCAGGGCATTAGACTAGAAGATCTCCAAGGTCCTTCTAACTCTGTTATTCTATTATACTGTTTAGGAGACTAAGAGTGACATGATAGTTGTCATCCAATACGTGAGAGGCTGACACAGAAAAGAGGGGGGCGACCTATGTTCCAAAGCACCCGAGGACAAGACAAGAAACCATGGATGGAAACTAATCAAGAAGAGAAGCAAGCTGGAATTAAGGAGAAATTAATTCCAGACAGTGAGAGCAATTAACCAGTGGAACAGCTTGCCTCCAGAAGTTGTGGGTGCTCCATCACCGGAGGCTTTTAAGAAGAGACAGGACACCCATTGTCTGACATGGTGTAGGGTCTTGAGCTTGAGCAGGGACTAGAAGACCTCCAAGGTCCTTTCCAACTCTGGTTAAATTCACCCAGGCATGCTTTGAAGGAAAAGGAGAGAAGCACCACCAGAATGCATTCTGGAATGAACTCCAATCCTTATTGGAGCATCCCAGTTATTCAATTCTCCAGTGTAAACTGTGACTGGGGATCTGAGTCCGCTTTGCAGCCTCCCCTCTCCGGCCTCCGTAATTCCACTTGGCCAACCTGTCAGGCAGACAAGCTGTAGCACATTCTGGCATTCCAAGAAGTTCAGCTGGTTTGTATCACGAAGGCTTCCAGGGCAGGGGGAAGTTTTCCAGAAGATGCCGACTGAGACTGCGTTTCTGTCTGCCCGGATCAACAGTGTTGCTAGTTTAGCATCTCAGCAAGGGGTCCTCCACCACCACCACATCTGGCCAACAAACCAGTCAGGAAGAGAAAGGGGGAATTGTCTGCTGGCAGATCTTTGGGGGATTGGCTGATGTGCTTAACAATAGAGAGGATGATGTTTCCTGAACCGCAAGACCTCGAGAAAGAGGTTTCTTACCACCTAGAAAGAGATGAAGCCAGGCCTCCACTTCCCAACTTAATCAGCGTGTGCATCTGTTGGAGGGAGGCCTACCAGACCCAGCCTCCTTCCTTCTCCTGTTACAGATTGAGATTTGTTTTATGAGCTTGGAGCCAGATGCTGCTCCTTCGAAGAGCCAGGCGGATCCTCCCTCCTATCTTTCTCAACCCAGCGATATACCGAGGCCTGGCGCTTGATGCCAAACATGTGTGAAGCAAACAAGGCTTCTGTGACCCAGGAAGAGAGAAAAAGGAAATGTGCGTTCTTGTAGGAACGCCCTATGTGTGAGTAAAGGCGGGCGGGCTTTTTTTGGCAGGACTTCTTCCCGGACCGTACGGATGAGCCCGGCAAAATAAATAAAATTAAGATGGCAAATTTCCCCCTACTATGGATATGGTTACCGTCTGCCAAACAGCTGCCAACGTTCAGCTTGTTCTGGAAGGTATTTCCCAGACTGGAAGAGGAGATTAGAGGGCTTGTGGAATGGGGTCCTTTCTGAGAAGATCTCCAATTGAGGGTTTAATTGTTTCCAAATGAGGAGCATTATGGGATGGGCCATATTCGGGGCCAGCTTTTGAGTTTGCTATGCCAAGGGATTTGAAGGGGGGCGCTGGCAGCAGCTGTTTTACATTTAAGAGGATGTAGAGTGGATTCGGCAACAGGCAGGAAGGAAGACAAATGAGAGTGGGGATAATGGGACATGGGACACCTCTCCCGTGAGGCTACTTGTTCTGAGTGAGTTCCCAGTCCTGATCCCTCAGGCTATATTTGACTATCAACGACTCCAATGAATTGGATTGTAGGGGCCTTGCAAACAGTGACTGTGATTGTCCTTTGAAACACTCCGGCTGCCTGCGTTTCTGCTGGGATGAAGATTGACATGAGGGTCTTGGGCACTTTCTAGGTCTGGATCGGAAGCTTGTGATGGGTTGGCTAAGGAGAAGCTTCCCTTGTTAAACTGGGTCTTTTAAATAGTTGTGTTCAAAGAACACGCTAGATCTGGACAAAATGAACCAATCTGTTATAAATGAATGCAACCGGCTGATTCTTGCAATGTGCTAAGATGAAACCTGGGTTTTCCAGAGGCAAAGATTACTCAATCTCATTTTAGCCTAGTTAACCATGTTGTATGAATCTATTATTTAGGATAGGTTAGGATAGGTGTGTGAAGACCCTTCCTTCGGTACATCATAATCTTTCCTTCCTTCCTTCCTTCCTTCCCTTCCCTTCCCTTCCCTCTGGTGATTGGTCCAAAGTCACCCAGATGGCTTTCACGACCAAAAAGGGACTTTTAAGTCATGTCTCCTGCTTCCTAGCCTGGTTTGTTAACCACAGACATTTTTAGTTAGAAATTAGTATAAGAGTATTCCTAAGAGGCTGAAATGTTCATGCTTTCCCTAAAAAACTATATTATCCTGCAAAATTCCTCTGTAAAACTTTCAACATAGATATAAAACCTTTCCATCAGACCAGCAACATGCATCATTTTTTTTTTTTTTTTGCATAATAATATAAGCAAAACAGTCAAACAAACGGATCTCACTTTTCCAGAACGGATATTCTGACAGCAAAAGACAGAATTAAATTGGAAATGGGGTAACCTGATCCCTTTCTGAGCACACTTGCTAACTATAAATTGCATGATTCTTTACCTTGCAGAATTATATATAGAAACTGTTCTCTAAGCTCCCCAATTTGCTTAACATTATTTTAAAAGCATGCAAGCTTCATCTTGTCCAAAATAACATAGGAATTCTTGGTGTTATTCGTGTTTCTAAGAATCACAGCCCAGCAGACAACATGATTCTCTGGTCATTTGTGTCAAAATAACAATGAAACAGTGTCACAAACAACAAAAATGGCTGGAGTAAGATGTTATACTTCTTAATAATATCTCACCTTAGTTGATCAGGTTTTCTGATGTTTACATTTCTGGATTTTCTTTGTGTTTCTTATTGTATCCACCAGTTTTGGTACCAGCAGCTGGTAAGGGTATCTGATAAACTATGCAAGTGGAGGGGGAAAAAAATGTTCCATAAGCTATTTACCACACTGCATTACTCAAAATACCATATTTTAAATCCTCTTAAGCTGTTATACATCATCATATAAGTCAGCACAAAAGAGGGCCCATGAATTCCTAAGAATTATATTGACATGGGAAGCGTCAGCAAATGCATGGAAAAGGAAAAAAAAAAAAAAAAAACCTCCTCAAACATATCAACGGTCACATCCTCCCCCATCAAAATTAACACACTGTACTGCTAATATTTCAGAGTAATGTTTTTCACCGAGGGGCCATATTTTATCCTTTAATATGATCCATTTTCTTTTTTTAAAAAAAAGGCAAAATAAATTATGGTATCATGCTATGAGGCTGAATCTGACAACAGAACAGTTTTGGAAGCATTGCACTCTAGAAACGGAAAGAAATCCTTTTTTTTTTTTTTTCCTCCTCACCATTTTCCAAGAGAATGCAATTGGAAGGAGCAAAATATGCATAGATTCTCCTGGAATATTTTTATCCTGAACCTACCCCCACCCCTTTCATGAGATTTTGGCCTATTTAGATGAAATCACAGAAGGAGTTTCTTTTGTTTTTTTTTTTAAAAAGAACAAAAGATTATTTGGGTTGTGGTTTTAATCACCCTGGAAAAGTTCAGCTCTTCTATAAATATGCATGAGGTACATAAAGACATCACTATTTCATGTTATTGTTTATTATATATTTTATATTACATTTTTTATTTTATTTTTTATCCGGCCTTTATTATTTTTACAAATAATTCAAGGCAGCGAACATAAACTTCTACCTCCTATTTTCCCAAACAGCAACCTTGTGAGGTGGCTTTCATGGCTAAGGCGGGACTAGAACTCACAGTCCGCTGGTGATTGGCCCAAAGTCACCCACCTGGCTTTCATGGCTAAGGCGGGGCTAGAACCCACGGTTCCCTGGTGATTGGCCCAAAGTCACCCACCTAATATTTTATTTCAGTTATTTATTTGTATTCCGCCTTGATCACTCTGGCAAATAATTCAAGACAGCGAATATATCCAACACACCTTCCTCTTCCTATTATCCTTACAACAATCTTGTGAGGTGGGTAGGGCTGAGAGAGAGGGACCGGCCCAAGACCGCTCAGCTGGCTTTGTGCCCATAGCGGAACTAGAACTCACAGTCTCCAGCTTTCCACCTTGGCGCCTTGACCTCTGGACCAAATTGCCTCACTGTGAGGACAAATGCTGTGAAAACAGTTCATTTGGTAACCATCTCAAGTTACAACGGCAAGGAAGAAAGTCACTTATGACTGTTTTTCACACTTAATGACCATTGCAGCACCCCCTTGGTCACATGATTTACGTTCAGGTGCTTGGCAACTGGTTCATATTTACGTTGGTCGCAGTGTCCCAGAATCACGTGATCCCCATTTGTCCCACCTTCTGACAATTAGCAAAGTCAATGGGGAAGCCAGATTCACTTAACAACCTAGTTGCTAACTTAACAAACTGCAGTGATTCACTTAACACAGGGGTTCCCAACCAGGGGTGCGAGACGATATTCCAAGGGGCGAAAACTTGGGTTTTCAAAATTATAGTGTATATGTATAATTCGTTGCCGTTATTTTGAACTTTTGTAAGGGGTGTGAGAATATATCAGAAGTGTTTTTGGGGTGCGGAATATAGAAAAGGTTGGGGACCACTGACTTAACATCTGCGGCAAGGAAAGTCGTAAACTGGGGCAAAACTCACTTAGTGTCAGAAATTTCCTGCTCAATTGTGGCCAGAAGCTGAAGAGGGAGTCAAGCTATTCTCCAAGGTGCTGAAGGCAGGTCAAGAAGCAACAACGGATGGAAACTAATCAAGGAGAGAAGCAATCTAGAACTTAGGAGAAACCTCCTGACAGTGAGAACAATTAACCAGTGAAACCACCTGCCTCCAGAAGCGGTGAATGCTCCAACCCTGGAAGTTTTTAAGAAGAGACTGGACAGCCATTTGTCCGCAATGGTGTAGGCTTTCCTGCCTGAGCAGGGGGTTGGACTAGATGACCTCCAAGGTCCCTTCCAACTTTATTATTATTATTATTATTATTATTATTATTATTATTATTATTATTATTATTATTATTATTATTATTATTATTTTTTACCTGTACCTAAAGAAGAATTCCTATTTTAGATTCCTTCCTTTTAAGTTGCTGCTTTCGGAAAGCCTGCCCTGGAAATGTACAGCTCAGATGCCTGGTTACACTAGAAACAGTTCTCTGTGATAGACAGCCTATATAAGACATTTGGGGGTGGAGGGGGGGGCAGATGAAAACCAAAGATAGGGAAAAGCTTTCTCTGTAAAGGTAAAAAAAGAAAAAAGAAAGGGCAAGTACAAAACTGCCAGGAGAGTTGGATGTGATCAATTAGATTAGGACCCAAGGAGTACACCAGAGATTTAAGGGTAGGGATGCACAAATTAGAATTTCAATTCCAAGAAAAGGAGGAAAGACCATTAAAAAAAAAAAAAAACCAAGAAGAGGAAGAGGCAAACAAGAAGGAAGATGATAAGAAGAGGGCGGAGGGGGGTGGTTGGGAGAGGGAAAAGGAGCCAGAGGGAACTAAACATGAAATGGCAGACAAGGGTGATGACCTCAGGTTTGTTTAAGGTGACATGCTCTGCAGCTGGATGAAAGAAATACTTTGCATTTTTTTGAACCAGGCGGGGAACAAAGGAACACTCTGCATCTCGAGAATCAATATCACATTTTATGCCTGCTGCACCCTTCACAAAGAATCAAGAGGACATCGATTCAAGTAAGTAAGAACTTCATTGAAAATTGACCTCTGGGTTTCTTCAGTGGGAAGGGGACCGGCTGGTTTGAATGCAGGGAGGGGGGAACGGGAGGGCTCTCCTTGGGAGCTGGTGCTGGACAGGGATGTCAGGCATGGCTGCCGCTGAAAAGTTCATAGCTTCATTCCCTGTCACCACATCAGACGGTGGGCCACCTCTTGTGCTGACAGAAGCAAGGGCCCCCACGTAGTTTCTCCTTGGCTGTCAGAGCTGGGCTAATAGCAAGCAAGGAAAGGGGAACAGAAGCTTGACTCCTGGCCAGAACAGAGGTAGGAACAGGAGAGCCTTGAAGCCAATCTACAGAATCAGAATAGAACCGAAAGGGACCTTGGAGGTCTTCTAGTCCAGCCCCCTGCTCAAGTAGAAGACCCTATACCATTTCAGACAAGTGGTTGTGCAATCTCTTCTTAAGAGCCTCCAGTGATGGAGCACCCACAACATCTGTTCCACTGGTTGATTGTCCTCACTGTCAGAAAATTTCTCCTTAATTCCAGGTCGCTTCTCTCCTTGATTAGTTTCCATCCGTTGTTTCTTGCCTTGCCTTCTGGTGCTTTGGAAAATAATTGGACCCCCTTCCTCCTTGTGGCAGCCTCTCAAATACTGGAATACTGCTATCATGTCCCTCCTAGTCCTTCTTTTCTCCAGACTGGCCATTCCCAAATCCTACAGGAGACACAAAATGAAGGAGATGGAAACCCTGAAGACCAGGTAGATACAGCTGCTGGTGAAAACCAGAATTAAGCTCAGGAATAGCTGAAGGGAATTAGCTAAAGTGAGTGAGAGTTGAGTTGCAATGAAGCAATAGTGGGAAGCAGAAGGTCTTCTCATTTTTCTTCTGTTGAGCTTGGCCGTCCTCCTGCTCCACCAAGCATTGGCAATAGGAGGATTTATAGCACTGTTGTACTTAACGCTCTGGCACTGAACTAAAACCTAAGTACCAGCTAACAGCAGGATTTCTTCACGTAGAAGGAAATCAGCTGAATAATTAATCAAGATCTATAAGGGAAAAAAATCCATACGAACATAACACCACTGGAAGAGGCAAGAGACAACTTAGTTCAGCATGCTGGGCTACGTAGCACTAACCAATGCACAGGTAGAAAGGAAATAATATACCATGATCCTTGCAGCTGATTTTCATACTTGTGCTATAATTAAAGAGAGGCAGCCTGGTGTAGTGATTAAGGTATCAGGCTAGAAACCAGGAGATTGTGAGTTCTAGTCTCACCTTAGGCACAAAGTCAGCTGGGTGACCTTGGGGCCATTGTTCTCTCTCAGCCCGAAGACGAAGGAAATGGCAAATCACTTCTGAAAAGTTTTGCTGAGAAAACTCTGGGACTGATCCGGCAGTCTTCAGGAGTCAAAAGCTGACTTGAAGGCATGCAGAGACATACAAGTATAAGTTAAAGACTCTGCATAGTGTAGGTGAGATTGCTTGTATACAGCAAGAAACACTCCACTCTTATCAGCTTAGGATAAACCACACTGCAGGCTGTTTTTTTACGGCCTTAGCAAAAGGCTACACCTACACCTGTTTAGTAAACTTGCATTATGAGCTGAGCTGAAGAGGTAAGCAAGAACGGAGAGAAGAATAAAGCCAGTGCTGAAATAATTTCTAGCAAAGCTTGGTTAGATGTAACCAACAGTAGATCTTGGATGTTAAAATGTGATAAGAGCAGATATGTTCCTTCAGGCTCTTTGGCACAGAAATAAGACAGTCATATCTGAGCTGCAGAAATCTAGATGACTGTTACATGAAGATGAGGTCCTGAACTTTCTTAATATTTTGCAATCATCTAGTTCTTGTGCAGATTTTCACAGCTCAGTTATGGCAGACCTTGTCTCAAGGCTATTGTTGAATTAGATTAGTGAGATTAGTTAACAAATTAAAAGTTCTTCCTCAAGCAAAGCATCAGAATAACAAAATAACAAAGTTGGAAGGGACCTTGGAGGTCTTCTGATCCAACCTTCTGCTCATAGCAGGAGACCCTATATAATTTCCAACCTCCTGCTCATAGCAGGAGACCCTATATAATTTCAGACAAGTCTCTTCTTAAAAGCCTCCAGTGATGGAGCATCCACAACTTCCGAAGGCAAGCCGTTGCACTGGTTAATTCTCACTGTTAGGAAATTTCTCCTTAGTTCCAGGTTGCTTCTCACCTTGTTTA